TTCAGACCTTTTGGCAAACAGTATGGACGATTCTCAAAAAATTAGAAATTGAGCTCCCATTTGACCCAGCAATACCACTCCTGGGAATATATCCCAGAGAGGCAAAAATGTATAGTTGAAGTGACATCTGCACTTGTTTGTTCATTGCAGCATTCTTTACAATAGCCAGAATCTGGAAAAAACTTGAGTGCCCAAGAACAGATGATTACTTAAAGAAACTTTGGTACATCTACACAATGGAGTTCTATGTAGCTGTTAGAAAAGATGAAGTCATGAAATTTACATACAAGTGGTACTACATGGAAAGTATCATGCTAAGCAAAATGAGTCAGAAAGAGAGGGATAGACATAAAAAGATCACATTCATCTGGGGGACATAAAGTAACAAAATAGGAGATTAATACCCAAGAATAGCCGAGATCAGTACCAGGAGGAGTACTCCATGGCTTAGAGGTCAGCTGGGCATTCTAGGGGAAAGGGCAGCTCAGATAGAGAAGGGAGCACCAAATAAAGGGTGTTTGGAGGATACTCCCAGGATGGGAGATGCATGTTGAAAGTAGACTATGGACAGAACATGATTGGCACTCAATGCCTCTTTTGCAGACCACCACATCCAAAAGGAGAGAGAAAACAAAAGGGAATGCCCTGCCACAGAGGCAGGGTGGGATGGGAGGGTGGATGGGGGTGGGAGGGATACTGGGATCCATGGTGGTGGAAAATGGGCACTGGTGGAGGGATGGGTATTTGATCGTTGTATAATCGAAACCCAAGCACAAAAATTTCTAAGCCTACAACTGTACCTCATGGTGTTTCACTAATAAAAATTAAAAAAATGAAAGTGCTTTGGCTTAGGCCATTTTGGAATGCTTAAGTGCACACTGAGTTTTCATAGAGAAGTAGAGTAGACAGGGTTACTAAATGCAGTTGACTACAGAGCCCTTTTGGCAGAGGACTTGACAGGCCTAAGATCCCTGAGACTTACTTCCCTTTGGGAAGCATCAGGTCCCTCAGAGTAAAAGCTGAAGCAGAAAGCCATTGTCCACACAGTCTGCCCACTTGCCCAACCACCAAATTAATTATCATCACTGATTTAAGCTGGAGCGATAGCACAGCGGTAGGGCGTTCGCCTTACAAGCGGCCAACATGGCCGACCCGAGTTCGATTCCTCCGCCCCTCTCGGAGAGCCCGGCAAGCCACCGAGAGTATTCCATATGCCAAACACAGTAACAACAAAGTCTCCAATGGAGACATTACTGGGCCCGCTCGAGCAAATCGACGATCAACGGGAGGGCCTTTACCTTTACCTTTTACCTTTACCTACCTCCCAGTCTGTTTTGGTCCCCTGGAAATCTGGATCCCCAGTGCTGGGGAGACTGAGGTCTCATTATGATAACTTAAAGAAAGAAAGCAGGTATTTGTCACGCCAAGGCCTCTTGGTCAGAATACTTGAGCCAGCTTCTTCCAGCCCCTCTTCTGGGAGCAAGCCCCACAAAAAAAAAATGTAGAGGGGACAGGATGCTGCTGGGGTTAATGCCCAAAAGAGCAGGATAACTCACTCAAAGGGGAATTCCTGACTAGCTCTGCCATCATAACCAGCTCTGTCACTGTGTTCTCCCCTGCGCCACCCCCTCACTGTGTGTGTGTGTGTGTGTGTGTGTACGTGCGCATGCGTGCATAATTGCATGCTCGAGAATCACTCCTGGTGGGGCGTGGGGGCACATATGTGGTACAGGGGAACAAAGCCAGGTGGCTGCATGCAAGGCAAGTGCCCTAACCACTGTACTATCTCTCCAGCCTGAGTGTCATCTGCCCTTCCATATGTCAAAACCCCAATTTGCCTACCCCATCCTGTTCTGCTCTATAGTCACACGATAGCTGAGTTTTTCTAGTGACTGGCTGGTCTAAAGCCAAACAGACATAAGGAAGAAACCCAGCACTGTTGTTACTATTATTACAAAAACACAACAAAAGAGAGGTAGTATATAAGAATTGTCTATTCTCAAACAACAGCTGAGAAGGCCAAATGGGTCCATTTCTGGCGATCTGGTCCAATAATTGGTATTCATACAACCCCTAGGAAGTCAATCATAAATGTCTACTACTTTCCTTGGGAGGTGGGGTGCTTTTTAAAAATCTTTTGAAAATTTAAGTTAAAAATGTGTATTTGTTTTACATATAATTTCAAAAATTAGAAAATTTGTAAAGATGTCTACCAGGAAGTTTCTACACATTTATAGTTCTCCCACACCTCATTTGATTTACTGTTTTATTTCTCCACCACATCAATTTCAAATTCAATTCGTTAGACAATTTATATAACTGTGAATAATACATTTTGATAGAAGTGTGGAAAGTACAGCTCTGGAACACTCTCACTGTGGTCTCCCTCCCCCAGATCCAGGATGGAAGTGTATTATGTTTTTAATTGTTTTATTAATTGAGGTTCTATGATTTACAATACTGTAATGGTGGTTTCCCATCCACACAATTCCAGCACTATACTCATCACTAGAGTACCAACCTCCCTCCGACAAAGGACCCCAAGATCCCTCCCTTTCAAGCTCCCTCCCCACAAACTCAGTTTTGTGGTTTAATTCTCTGGAGTTGTGATAATTTTTTGGTTTTGGGCCATACCCGGTGGTGCTCAGAGATCACTTCTAGCAGGCTCGGGGATCACATGGAGTGCTGGGGATAGAACCTAGGTCTGCTGCATAAAAGGCAAGTACTGTACTTGCTATACTATCACTCAGCCCCTGTCCTTTTATGTTCATCTGTTGCATCATCATGGCCTATGGTGCTCTCCTTAACCCTCTAGTGCTCCACAAGGGATATGAAGGCTCCCAGCTTCCCACCTGATCAACTGATGAAATCCCTGCTACTGCTGCTCTACTCTCCTGTTCAGTTACAAACATCTGTCACATTTTCAAAGAAATTAAGTTTTAAATCCTGAATTGGAACCACAACTACCACTTCCAGACTTTGACTCTAGGATGATACCTCTTACCAAAAACTAATAAATCAAGTTTAAACACCAATAATTAGGGAAGAGAGGTAGCTCAGCAAACAGGTACTTGTCTTACACACAGACAGTCCAGGTTCGATTCCTAGAGCCACACTTGGTCGCTCAGCTCCAGCTCACACCAGAAGTGATCCTTTAGGGTTGACCCTGGAGTAATCTCGGGAGCACTGCTGGATGTAGTCCCAAAACAAACAAACAAAAACCCTCATAGCATGATTGTGTCTACATTTACAGTTCCCTCACAGGCTTTCCTTGAGACTTGGGGGGATCAATGAAAGGAACAGAAAGATGAAGTTCCCTCCTTCCTTAGGAGCTGAGCATGGAGTGTGGGAAGTGTGCTGAGGGCAATGAAATAGCACAGGGGTTGAATTCAAAGTGACGGGTGAGGCCTCTAAAGTGAGATGTTAGGGAAGGCTTTTTGAAGGGGGTGACGCTGAAAATAGGGTTAAAAAATAAATTTAAAATATAAGATCTATGGGGCTGGAGTGATAGCACAGTGGGTAGGGTGTTTGCCTTGCACGCAGCCAACATGACTGATACAGGTTCCATTCCCAGAACCCCATATGGTCCCCTGAGCACCGCCAGGAGCAATTCCTGAGTGCACGAGCCAGGAGTAACCCCTGAGCATCGCCGGGTGTGACCCAAAGAAAAGCAAAAAAAAGCAAAAAAAAAAAAGGATCTAAACCATGAGAAGCCCAAAGCTATGCCCTCCTTTGCATGTCCTCCGACCTGCCTGGGGGTGGGGGAGTCTTATAATTAGCTGTCTTGTAAAAGGAAAAAATATCCCACCTATTAAAGGAATGCCTCCATTAAATATCTGCTATTCTTTACCTTTGCAGACAGAACTCAACACTTTCAGAAGAAATCACATTTTCTTTCCAGAAATGTTTGAATGTTCAGTTCTGTTTGATTGTCAGCTCATAAATATCTTTCTCCTTTTGACGTCTTCACATATGGGATATAAAGGAACACAGTAGGTGTATAATAAACACCAAAGGCAACAGAAAACTGAGAAATGGTCTTCCATAGGGAGCTACCACAGGAGAAGGATGGGGGAGGGACAGTGAAGGTGAGGGGAGACACTAAGACAGTGGTATAGGGAAGTACACAGTCTGGAAAAGGGTCTGGTGAGGAACTGTGTTACATGTGAGATCTACATGAATAGCATTATAAACCATGGGGCCTGAAGAATTTTTATTTTAGATATGCTCCTCAATGGCTCCCCAGGTACCCCAGGAGTGTGCGCTGGGTTCATAGATGGCCACTCACTGAAGCCAGGGCCTGTTGGCTTTGCTGGCTGTGGACATCCAGAGGGGTGCCCCTGATGACCTGGGCACAAGTGGGACTCATGGAGATGCCAGGAACAGAAATTTCAATCTTGACTAACTATAGACTGAATGATGGTCACTCAATACCTCTATTGCAAACCACAGCACCCATAAGGAGAGAGAGAGCAAAAGGGAATGCCCTGCCACAGAGGTAGGGTTGGGGTGGTAGGAGGGATGCTGGGATCATTGGTGGTAGAGAATGGGTAGTGGTGAAGGGATGGGTACTTGATCATTGTATGACTGAAATGTAAGCACAAAAGTTTGTAAGTCTGTAACTGCACCTCGCAGTGATTCATTAAAAATAAATAAATAATTTTTATAAATTTTAAAAAAAGAATTTTTCTTTTAAATCTTTTTTTCTTTAGTCCTAGACTTTAATGCCTTTGGGAATGCTATGGAACAGTTCTGTCTCAGCTTCAAAACCACCAGCAGCCTTCTCGATGTAAACACTCGATAGGACAGAGGGAAGAAAACCACCAGAGATGCAGCTAACTGCCAGGGAGACGCCATTCTGCAGGAAGGAGCCCTGTCAGCACCCTTGTTCCCAAGACCCCATCCTGGGCTCAGTCTCTGAGCTTTCCATGTGGAATGAAGGTGGGCATGTGCTTACCAACAATCATCCCCTACTGTCTAAAGTAATGGGCACACAATACCTGTTGGAGGCAGAGAGCTCCTGTGAGGACCAGGGCTGGCTGGAATCCCAGAAGAACCGCTGGGACGCTCCCAGGTGGTCTCTGTTTGAAAAAATGACAAAAAGCACATTACTTTGAGAGTTTCCCCAGGAGAAGTCTCCAATGTCACAGGGCTGCAAAAACAAACACTGGGTGTTTTGTGACATGTATTTTTCAAGTACTTCTGAAATGAGAAAACCTTGAAAATTATACACCCTGATAATTTATTTTACAATTCATAAACTTTTACCAGGAGAATCAGATATTCATTTCTGTGTTGAGCCACATCCAGCAGTGCTCAGGGACTACTTTTGGCTTTGTACTCAGGGATCACTACTGGCAGACTTGGGGACCATATGTGATGCCTGAGAAAGAACCAGGGTGGGCTGTAAGCAAGACAAGTGCCCTGCCCACTGCTTTCTTGCTTTGGCCAAGAATAAGATAATTTTATTTATAGCTGGAGCCATAGCACAGCAGTACGGCGTTTGCCTTGCATGCAGCCAACATGGCCGACCCGAGTTCGATTCCTCTGACCCTCTCGGAGAGCCTGGCAAGCTACTGAGAGTATCTCGCCCGCACGGCAGAGCCTGGCAAGCTCCCCGTGACGTATTCGATATGGCAGACACAGTAACAACAAAGTCTCCAATGGAGACGTTACTGGGCCCACTCGAGCAAATCGATGATCAACGGGAGGGTCTTTACTTTACTTACATTATATTTATACTTTTGGAGTACACTGAACGTCTATGGATTTTTCACTTTCTAGCACATAAGCTTATATTTGAGAAGTTAGCAATTTGGTATGACTGGTATTACAAAGCAGGATTATAACAAAATAGGCTATGTTGTATTGAAGTGGTATCAAATTCTAACATCTAATCCCTGTCCCTGTCCTCCCGTTGTTCATCGATTTGCTCAAGCGGGCCCAGTAAAGTCTCCATTGTGACAATTGTTACTGTGTTTGGCATATCGAATACGTCATGGGGAGCTTGTCAGGCTTTGCTGTGCGGGCGAGATACTCTCAGAGGCTTGCCAGGCTCTCCGAGAGGGGTGGAAGAATCTAACTCAGGTCAGCCATGTTTACAGGATAGAAATTCATGTAAATTGATTTTATATATTAAAGTATGTAAATTCTGTATTAAAACATGGAATTTCATATTGAAGCAGGTAGGCCAATATGTAAAGGTAGCCCTTTACATATGGCAATGATAAATAATACATCACTGACCCTAAGGCTGCCAGAACCCACCTTGTGGACACAGGAACTAAGGGCTAATACTTTTACCTTGGGTCAGCACAGACCCAGAGAAGGTTGGCTCCCCCTCCTTGAGAAACTCTAGTAGTCACAAAGGCAAGGAAAGGAAAAGCAAAGAAGACCATTAACTACTGCCAACTCTACCCCTTGGAAACCATCCTAGTAATGGACTCTTACCTAGGTAGAGAGCCCTATAAAAGCCAACTTGAGGGGCTGAAGCAATAGCACAGTGGGTAGGATATTTGCCTTGCATGCGGCTGACCTAGGTTAGATTCCCAGCATCCCATATGGTCCCCTGAGCACCACCAGGGGTAAGACCCTGAGTACTGAGTCAGGATTAATCCCTGAGCATCTCTGGGTGTGACTCAAAAAAAGCAAAAAAAAAAAAAAAAGCCAACTTGAACAAAAGAAGTGTCTGCATATGCTGTCCAAGCCTATGTATGTGTGTGTTGCCTGTATCTACGTGTTGCTGCTGAGTGCATGTGGTACCTGGGCACATGTGTTGTCTGCATCTCCCTTTTTGAGATTAAATACTTTCATATTTAATGCTGGAATGTGTATTTGGGCTCCCTCTCAACTTTGAAGAAGTCCACGTTCTCTCTTGAGTATATTACTCTCTCTCTCTCTCTTTCTCTCTCTCTTCACCCTGAACTGGGGAATTCTGTGTTTTCTCTTGAGCACACTTTCTTTCTTTCTTTCTTTCTTTCTTTCTTTCTTTCTTTCTTTCTTTTTCTTTCTTTTTTCTTTTTCTTCCTTTTCTCTCCCTCCCTCCCTCCCTCCCTCCCTCCCTCCCTCCCTCCTTGCTTCCTACTTCCTTCCTTCCTCTCTGTTTTTCACTCTCTCCTTCCTCAGAACTTCCAAATAAAATGAATTTTATTTCACTGTTCATTTTCTGAAATTCTTTTCTGACAGAAAGGCAAGAACTCAAAAAGGTTTGGGTAAGGTCTAAGACTGACTTTCCTTTCCTGAAAGGAGCAAAGCTCACAGCAAACTAAATCAGTTTTAGATTTCCCCTCCCCAGCTGTTCCCTTACAGAGGTGGATAAAAAGAAAAGAGCAGATTCCCATCCCTTCCAGAATCTGACAAGTCTCTCCTTCCTGATGTATAGACAGGAAGGGCCCCTTTGGCAATGGAATTCCTAGGATGTAATAAAATCAATAGCCCAAGGCTGCAAAGAGCCTACCTTATGAACTCAGGTGAAAACCAGGCACCTGACAACAGACCCAGAGCAGGCTGGACCCCTCACCAGCTCCAAAACAAGCTCCAGCAGGAACAAAGGCCAGGAAAGGAATTTCAAAGAAGACAATGGACCATTCCCAACTCTACCGCCTTGGCAATTACCCTAGCAACAGACTCTTACCTAGCTAAGAGCCCCACATGGGGCACCTTGGGAAAAAACTATAAAAGCCACCTTGAACAAATGATGGGAGAGCATATGCTGCCTAAGCATATGAGCCCATGTGACTGAGCACATGTGTCACCCACATCTCCCCTCTTGAGATGTGTACTGGGGTTTTCTCTACCTCTGGAGGAGCCAGCACTTTCCCTTACGTGTATTACTTTCTCTTTGCTCTTCCTCCTTCCCTTTCCTAAAAGCTTCCAAATAAAATCTGTTTTTATTTAACTGCTTATTTACTCCTGAAATTCCTTTGTAAGAAAGACAAGGACTCAGAAACCTTGGGTAAGGCCTAGGACTGACCTTTCCAGCAAAGAGCATTTTCTCACTATAGTCTGAGTCCGTTGCTCCCTGATATTTTGGGTGGAGGGGGTCAAATCCCATGACAACAAGACCAGGTGGGATGCCAGGTGTGGCTTGAAAAACGGCTGGCAGGACTTGAGATCCAATGCTGTGCAGGGGCTCACTGCAGACTTTATCAGTTCTAGCATTTCCAGCTGGTCACGTGGTGGCAGTGGGGGATGGGAGAAAATTATCATCTCTCTCTGCCCCACCTCACTCACATAAGCCACCAGTGTAGCCACCAACTTCTCCTTTAGCATGTTTTTAATGTTTCATGGAACTGTGTTGGTTTGCATAGAACCAGAAAAAAAGTCTTTCTTCTCTGTAGTAGGAGCAATCCCTCATACAGATAGGAAATCTCAAAGCCAAATACAGTACTCCAGAACCCTTTGGCAGAGTGTTAAGAGTTTGAAGTCGACCACCCCTCAAAGACAGAGAACAGAGCTGATATAATGCAAATCACATAGCAAGGTTTATTGTTCCAACTAGCTGGGGTCCAAGTATCTGCCTGATGCAGCGGGCTTTAACAAAGACCTTGAGCACTAAATTCAACAAGTTCTTATACTTCTCATTTATTCAACAACTTCATTCTAGTGTTAGAGTGCAATACTAAACTATTTTCACTTGTGCATTCCTCAACTATTTTCACTATCTAGGTCCTAATCTTTGATGATCATCTGATCTTCTGCTTAAAAGGGAATGAGATTAAACTAGCAGGTACTGTTATAACTCTACCAACTTTAGGACTGGAAGCTAGTTAGCTGGCTTATGAACGAACTGGAAATTGTCTCTGCTATGGCAAACAAGGAATGACCATAGCATAGCGGTAGGGCATTTGCCTTACAAGCGGCCAACATGGCCGACCCGAGTTCGATTCCTCCGCCCCTCTCGGGGAGCCCGGCAAGCTACCCAGAGTATTCGATATGCCAAACACAGTAACAACAAAGTCTCCAATGGAGACGTTACTGGGCCCGCTTGAGCAAATCAACGATCAATGGGAGGGCCTTTACCTTTACCTTTATAATGACTGACCTCTGGGCCCTGTCCTCAGCATCAAGAAAAAGTCCTGAAAACCAGTATCTTTCCCAGACCTGGATGGATCTCTTTCTGCTAGATCACTCCTACAGGAGGTGAGAATTCTGAGGCCATCTCCAGCTAATCATGCTGAACTCCGAATCTTCTGATCTTTACATTAGGTAACTCAGACATAATGGATAAAATTATTAATGAATTTATTAATATAAGACACTTATAATAAGTCACCCCAAATGGATCTCCAATCTTGCTGTTATTATGCAAAAGGACAAGTCTAGCTTATTAAGTCTCCTGGCAAATTTAAAGTGAAGATGGAGAGAAAACTGTGTTTCTGTAATTTGCCTTTTGTAGAAATTAGATTCCAGTTCTACAGAGGTGAATGAACAAAATATATTCTAGTAGGCTGAATTTAAAAGGTACCTCCTTGGGTAATTCTGATGAAACGTGGTTTCCTTGTAGAAGTAGATTAGTCATGGAGGGACTTAATGAACATTGCACATGCTGTTACTAATCCAACCAGGATAGTAGAAGCTAGAGCTTTACCAGAGAGAACTTCAATTGAAAAGGCAGACATGCTAGTTTTTGAGCTTGCAATAGGCTAAAAGACTTACAAGTAAACATCTATAGCACTGTAGCACTGTCCTCCCGTTGTTCATTGATTTGTTTAAGCAGGCACCAGTAATGTCTCACAACAAACTGTGAGACTTGTTGTTACTGTTTTTGGCATATCGAATACGTCACAGGTAGTTTGCCAGGCTTTGCCACGCGGGCAAGATACTCTCTGTAGCTTGCTGGGCTTTCTGAGAGGGGCGGAGGAATTGAACCTGAGTCGGCTGCGTGCAAGGCAAATGCCCTACCCACTGTGTTATCACTCCATCCCAAACATCTATACTGATTCTAAATATTATTTCTTAGTTCTATATGAAAATGGAGTCATTTGGAAAGAACAAGGATTTTTAACAGCTAAAAATAGTCCAACAAAGCTTGGGAAAGAAATTCTATAACTATTGGGGGCAGTGCAGGCCCTCAAGGAAA